AATAATTAATTATATTAATAATACCTAATTTTTTTCGTTTTAAATTTCTCGATTGCCCTTTTTGATTTTCTTCTTTCTTATTAATTCATTAGTAAATTCAAATGTTGAAGAAGTGCGTTCTGACCTTCTAAGCCTATCCATGGTTTCCTATCATCGAGAAAAATAAAATAAATACAAAAAAAAAGGAATTTAGATTTAGATACAGTCACAGCAGATGAACGGGACACATAAGAAAATTTTATTTAAAATCCATTATGACAAGAATTTAATTATAGTCTACTGTGGCGAGATCCACTGTGACAAGATTTTTGCTGGTTGTAATTGACTTATAAATTTATTAGATATATATATTTTACATTTACCTCATATAATTTTCTCTAGAAAATTTTTTTTTTTTGAAAACAGTCTCGCAGAGATTCATAAATCCAAATATTTTAGATGAGACATTTGATACAATTAGATGATAATAAAATAAGAAATTGTAATGGTCAGTCTATGATGGATAATAAAAACAAAAATATATATGTTTATTATTGAGAGCTGCTGATATTAAAAAATGTTGACTGAAATATTTCAAGAAAAATCTTATTCAGAAGGAATTGTAATGCAGATTTCAAAAAAATTTGTTTTCATTGGTTTTTTTTTTACAACATTCATATGTATGTGTGTATTAGTATGTTTATATTTAATATTTGAACAACTTGATATTTTTTTAAAAAACAAAGGTTTAAAACAGAGTCATCATCTTCAACTTCTAAAGTGTTCGATCCCTGGTTTTTTGTAATATTAAAGCCAAGTATCTTTTTCTTTTTCTTCTCTTTTTTTAGTAATAAAAATGATTAATTATAAATGGTGCATAACCCTTTACTATTATCAACTTCCAAAAATGTGTAGGTCTCATTGTATACAAACTTAGATAGGACCACGGATAATTATAATTGAGGTCATATCGATTGATGGATCTATAAGATCTTGGTGTCAAAAGACTTCTCCTCTCTTTAAAAGCTGCAATTTTTACTATGTTGTTTGATAGTATAAATCACGCGTTAGATACGACGAACATAGTTGAGCGCACATAAAAAATTATATATATGCCAAATAAACCTCTACTTAAAATTGGCATATGAATACTTCATAACATATACTCCAAAACAACGTTGTTAATTCTCATTTTATTTTATTTTATTAATCTTGATATCCAAGATAAAACTCTAAACAAGAATAGAAAAATATAAAGACATTGAGTTAAAGAGTAAGCTACAAGCCTTCATTTGATATATTTTCATACGTATAGAAGATTATCACGTTCTATATTATCTATTGATATATTAATATAAATTTTTAAAACTAAATTTTATTTTTAGTATAATCATTTTGTGGTAAATCATTGTACACATAAATAAACGATTGTTCAATGACTGCAGGGTTTCTATTCGTTTATTCGGATTATCCGTTTTATTCGTCACTCGAATAAATCGAATAAATTAATAAAATCAATAAATCGAATAATCGAATAAATTAATAAAATCAAAAAATGAATAAATGAATAAACTAATAAAACTAATAAACTAATAAACGAATAAGACGAATAAAAACGAATATTTATTTATTATTGCTATTATTATTATTTGTTAAATCGATCTGAATTTTTCCCAATAAAAAATATTTACATATGATTTTTTATATGTGCGCTCAGTTATGTTTGGCGATATATGAAATCAAGTTTACAAAGTTCTATACCCATTGGAACTCCAATGCCAATCACTCATCACTTTAAAGTCTGGATAGAAGCTCATTTGAATGACTTTTAGAGCCATACAATCTTTAAAGACGAATAGCATTTGATATTTTTCATAACAAGATTCGTAGATGGCATAAAGGTAGACAAATACCAATTCGTAGATTACCAAAATCATGGCAAAAGGTAATGACATTGAAGGATTTCATTGAAAGGTAAATCACCATTTTGTTTCACTAATAACTTATTATGTCGACATATTGCAGAACTAGCTTTTGCCTGCTGCACAAAATTTGCATGGTAGAAATTGGCATTTGCAACAGGGTAATGATCCAAAGTATACATCACGCGTTGTGAAAACTTTCATTGCTGAAAACCATTCGCAAATATTGGAATATTGGAATTTATAACCGTAGGATTAACATGATTGACTGGCTACCAAACAGTTCTGATTTCAACCCAATATAGAACATGTGGCACGTTATGAAGAATAATGTTGAAAGAAGGATGCCTAAAAATGTTGATGAATCGAAGCAATTTATGGTTGAAGAATTCCTCAGGAGACAGTTAAAAATATGGATACGTATTACTTTACCGACAATCACTTTACTGACGTATTATTTTACCGACAATCCCTTTACCGAAAGTTCATTTTGCCGAAAGTTCATTTTACCGACAGTTCAAATTTACATGTATTTTGGGTGGAGAATGTTTAAAATAATAAATCTAATTCAGATATTATTATGGTTGCACTAACAACTATATAAACACAAATTAAGAAAATCATTTTGCGGTCACGAGACTTTGAGGGTTGAGAAGGCGATCATTCCTGCATACAGTGTATTATATAAAATTAACCAATAATTGCAATTTTATTCTTTAAGAAACTTTCAATTCGTTCATTTTTTAATATATATATAAAAATTGCGTGTAATATATTTTTATTAAAATCTTAGTAACATAATTGATACATTTATTATCTACAATGTCTTCTTTTATTTGAAGATTGACTATTATCTTCTTCCAGATTATCAACATTCTTATCATTAAAATTATCAATGTCATCATCATCATCATCATCTAATACCCATGCAAAAATACGCTTCCCACCAACTTCTATTTCTTTTTTATTATCATTATTATTAGTATTATTGTTGCTATTTTTTAAACTTTTATTAATATCATGGATCTTATTAGTATTATTTTTATTATCATCGATTTTATAATTATTATAGTAAATTCCAGAACTGTCTTCTTCGTCATTAATTTCGATAATATTTGAAATATCTTGAGGACTAGCACCTGATCTTCTTTTTTGGGGAGGACTTGTACCCATAATATCAACGTCATCAATATCATTATTAATGAAATAATTTTCTTTTTGTGAATCTTTGTTAGCAGTGGATCGATGATCAACAAAATCATCCCAATCGGAATTATAGTCATAACCATAATCAAGATAACTATTCCGTGACAAAGATTCTTCTGATTCATTTATTTGATAATATCCTACTATATTGTTTTCAGGTTGTAACAGTTGTGGCATTGAGTAATCATAATTAGCACTGTTATTAATATTTTTAATATTATTACTATTGTTGCTGTTATTATTATTATGGTTATTATAATCAAGTGCTATTTTTGTTGTTGTTGTTGTTGTTGTTGTTGTTGTTGTTGCTGCTGCTGATATTGTTGCTGTTGTTTTTTTTGTTGGTGCTGCTATTGTTGTTTTTGTTGTTTTAGCTTTTGTTTTTTTTGTTCTAGGACTATTATTATTAATATTAGCCTTTGACAATAATGAAACTGTATCCTTTTCACTTAGTTGTTTTTTTAGTTTTTCAAGTAGTACATTTAAATACTTGTATTGATCAATATTTTCAAATCCACCTAAAATACTTATATTTTCTGGTACAAGGCGAAAGTAACCTCTTAAAACTTGTACTTTACTTATAGATACCTTATTATATTAATAAATCAAATATTTAGTATAAATATTTATGTTAAAAAAAAAATAACACATATTCGCACACATACACACACACATATATATATTTAATAATTACCTTTGTTCCAATAGGTGTTAATAAACTTAAATCTTTTATAGGCTTATATTCCATTACATCAAAAAGTTGACTTCCATCAGATAAAATTAATTTAAGTAAAGAACGTGGAAGTATAATATTTACATCATTATTTTCTATTTTTTCACTAATATGCTTGTATTTATGACCTTGTTTAAACGATCCAGCTAGATAACTATTTACTATGTCAATTAGATTTAGTGTGGAAACACCAGTTTCTACAATGTCAACTATCTGTAAAACTACTGGCTTGTCCTCAGCAATCATTATAAGATGTGAGTCAATAATATTTCGTGGTATAGTTGGATAAATAGAATCTTTTAGATTGGATTTTAAGAATTCTTTATAGATTTTATTAAATAATTCATCTTTGTTATTAGTGTTGTTAGTGTTTTCGGAACAACTTTTTTGAACACGATCAGTAAGCCAGGCTTTTTTGATACGAATATTTAAATTCTCAAATTTACATTTGCAAAATGATACAAGTACGTCAATATTGTTAATATTATAGTCTAGCATTTTTGATATTTTTTTTTTTTCAAAAAATTTTGTTGTTAAATTTATTAACTTTTTTTTTTTGATAATGTGGATCATGACCAAAAAAAAAAAAAAAAATAAACATCCGAATTAAGAAAAACCGTGACACCAGGTCTGTTTGTACTCTTCCAGAAAACGATCTTTCTATATATAATTAGTTAATTTTACCAAGGACAATCAATAAGTTGTAACTATTCGACAAGATTGATTTATACCCAAAACGTTCAATGTACACTCGAGCCTAATTTAAAATAATTAATACTCAATCAACAAAAAGAAAAAAGGTAGATTGGCCAATATCTGAGGCAATTTGCATTTGTATCTTTTCGAGGATAGACATGTACACTTTGTCGGACCAAGTCGTGGAAGGTACGAACGAGTGTCACTTTTTCGCAAAGACATTCCGTGATTCATGATCAGGAAAATGAAATAAATATAGTGTGCCATTAAACCTGATCAAACAAAATATTTTCTAATCACAAAAAAAATTTTCAATTAACTACGGTAGAAGTTGCAGGTCAGGTGCCCGGAGTGATAAAATACAACATGTACAAGAAGGGCATGATTTACTTTCTCGGAACTCTTATTGTCAAGAAGTTATTAAACCAAAAAAAATGTAAATGAACAATTATTATATTTGAAATTATAACTTTATATATTTAATAAATAATTTTTAAATGGAAATTATTTTAATCATAATCACAAACCCAAAGACTTCAATTAAAATTAATTTAATTTATATAATTAATTAAATTGATGGTAATATTTTTTTAAAATATTTTGCTCGGTTATTTTTTTCACCATCTTAAAGAACGTAATAGGTGGATTCTTACTTAATGCGTAGTTAAGTATCCTTTTTGCTCATCTCTTTGTAAGTAGAGGCAATAATCATCGCAAATAAATTCATGATAACATATAACACAGATAGATGATGATGATGATGATGATGATATTGTACTGGATATTTTTTAGTTAACTGAAAACCTTCATTCCGCATCTTTTCTACTTAATTATATTTTGTTTAGTGAACTCAATACATACACGTAATAATAATAATAGTAAAATTTTTCTATCTATTCCATAGATCTTGGTGATGATTAGAGTTGTCCAACATGACCTTTTGTTCCTGTTAATTAATTTTTGTTATAATCATCGAGAAATATTTTTAATAAAAAATAAAATTCAATCGGCGCGCAGCATGTTACACGCACTGCGTGCCGATTGAATTTTACGGATGTATTAAATATGGAAATCGAATCTAGAAAAATCGAAACCCCTCCATTGATCAATAGGCCTTGGGAAAACTCTATTGAATGTGACAATCAACACTATGATTCAAAAGTACTTTCAAAAAGAGTGAGGGTGACTGCAACACTATATTTCGGGTTAATAGTGAAAAAGAAATTCAAATTGAAAAAATCACACACCATAGGGACTGCTCGCCAATACATTTTTTAATTAGTCTTCATAAATCATCACTTTAACGGAAAAAAACCACCGAACGACTTTTAACGTTCGAGTTAATATGATCAGGTACGGTCACATACCGTGGAGTTTTCCCGGATCTGATTCATATAAATTTACATGATACTTGCTGCCTATTGAAAAAAAGAAATTTTTTCCAAAAGAAGCATAAATTATAATAACACAGTTTGGTAAAGTCCATTTTCTTTTGGTAGATATGAAGACAACAATTCATCTAATTGAGTATTTCCTCAAATCCCTCTCTTGCCAGAATGTAAAAGGACGCCGAAACAAATACTATTGAATTTTTCTCTTTCTTAACCTGTTGAGAAGCTGTCAATTTCCTCAAAGTATGCTCTTACTTAAATTTAAGGAAATTTATGTACCAGGAGTTCAAATTCGTTGGTCTTTTCTTTTCTTTTTTTTTTTTTGCCTATCGCGAAGACCATCTTCTAGTACTATTTGCTTGATTCGCTGAGAAATATTCAAAGGGCCAGTGTGAATCCATGTGGAGAAATATATTAAAAATGAAATAGGAAATAAAGTAAAGGAATGCGTTTAGCTACAGTGTGTCACGAAAATATGGCAATATTGCTTTTAATAAAAAAGTATCCAAAATCATCTCATAAAAATTATATCAGAGAATCAAAATATCATGGATTATTTTTTGTAAAAATTTTGAAGCATATTATTATATAGGCTTTAGAGAAATGATCACATTAAAAAAAAAAATTTCAAAAATAATCAAATATCTTTTATTTTTAATTGATAAAATTCTAGAAAATATGGGATCATGTAATCTTATATAGATAATTTTCAGAACTTAAGTTAAAAAATGATATTATTTTTTTGTATGATTATTATGTATGCTTTTGTGTTAGAACCTTTATTAAAAAATCCCATGTTAAAAATTTAATCAAGTTTTTAAAAAAAAGATGTGGATCAGCTTTACAAAAAACTGACAATAATATTTCATGTTTATTTTTCAATTTTTTACCTGTGCCATTTTTTTCGTGATATACTATATTTGCCAAGTATTTGCAGAGAGTTATCTTTATTAGGTGAATCTTTATTTGTATAAGTCATTGCTTTTATTTTAATTTGTACAAGTATGCTTTACTTAAATATATGGACAATGATTCATTGTATTCATTTATTCATTGATTTTTTATTGGCTCTGACAAACTGACTAAATTATAAAATTTTGGGTGTTTGGATATAAATTTCTGATTGGCTGATTTGAATTTCATATAATTTTATAAAAACCGGGGACCGGCATATTGAAATTTCGAAAATGCATCATACACGAAATTACACGGGTTTCAAAAATAAATAGTTCGCTTTTGGGAGGAGCTATGATATATACAGAATTAATAAAATTAATTAAATTAAATAGATATTTTATTTAAAAAGAAGCATTTTTTTAATAATTTTTAAATAATTTTTTATTTTATTAATACCAAATAATGTTATACAAAGAAAGAATTTAACAATAATGATGATGATGGTCGCGTAGCAATTCTTTCTGATTGTATATTTGTAGATTACACAATGGATTTATAAATTACAAATTTGGTTATATTCCCTATACAGTGAGTGGGACATCTAATAAAAAAAGGATATTCTCCAAAAGAAGATATTTTGAAAAATCTAACCGTCATTTTGTTTATCATAATAAGTAAAGCTATCAACTGATGATTAGGTTTTTTAATTCAGCCCGAGACATTTTTAATTTAAAGTTTGGGCTAATTTATTATGTTTACTATGTTTGGGAAGGCCAAATTGAAACATTGGACGGAAATATAGTTCCTAATTTGGAATATTTTGAAACTTGGACGTCTTTAATTCGGAAATTATTTAATTGAAACATTGTGAGCCCAACTGTATCATTATTAATATGGGAGGGAGACTTTATAGAACCATGCTAAAAGCAATTTGAGTTAATATCACTCACTAGAAACTTTAGAAACTATACCACTTTGTTTAATTAAAGGTTTTGAAATGAAGATCTTTTTATCCATATTCATCACATGATTTTTTATTTATTATTATTGATCATCACGAATTTTATTACACAAACTTGGTATTCTTTTTTTCAAATTCTGACTTTAGGGGTTTTCTTTGCTGGAGGTTTTAGAAGACGGAGAGAAGAAGTAGATAAGTGCGCATCTACATTCATAAAAGATGAAGATGAAAATGTAAGTTCATATTCGTTTATAATTAAACATTCTCATTACAGAAGATGAAGTCGCATATTTAAAACTCTTGCATTTATTTGCCTTCTGTGCAAGGTAATATTATTTAGGTGTTGGTTCAATCGAATTAATTGTTAACCACGACCTCTGATCTATTCTCTTTAAAAAGTCATCCCATTCATCTTCACATATCCAAACAAATTTGGAAAAGATAAACCTTTATGGGACTTGCTTAGTGTGTTTGGCGCAGTATGTAATTATATCTATTCTTTATTATTATTATTTATTTTCATCTCTGGGCAGGCACAGTATTCTACTGTGGGTAAACCAACATCAGTTAGTATTGGCTCTTTTTTTGTTTGTATATTACACAATTTTTTATTATCATTTATTTTTATTCTGAAAGTCCAATTCATACATATAACACATTACTAAAGAGATTATATTTCCAATAATATTACCTAAATATCCACCAATAACACAAGGAATAGGCCATTTCTATATGTGTGTACATATATTTAAAAGAAAAAGTAAATAAATTTTTAAATTAAAAAAAAAATCACGGGATTTAAGTAATTATTTATTTATAATTTACCTGCCATGGTCTATCCCAATCCAAAACAATCACAGATCCACTTAACCAAGCTCCAATAATCGTAGAAAATGTAGAATAAAATATCATTATTTCAGGAATTGATTCAGGACTTTTTTTTGAAAGTAAATTTTTTGCCTTTCAATAATATAGTTTGAGTAATAATGATCATTATAATTGTAGCATAAAATCACCTGTAATCAGGAAATACTTTTATCCATAAAGATTTATGGTTCTTTAATGTTGAGGCTGATGGAAATGTGGTGAGTAATGACATGTATAATCCAAATAACCAAGTATATAGAACATCACTTTTTATTTTTTTTTTAAATAAAGAGTTAGAAAAAAGAAGAAATTAACAATTAATTAAATTTTTCCTACTTACTCAATCATAGGAGCGCCAAAAAATATAGCAACAATGTGATAACAACATGCACCAAAAAATGTTAATATAACGGCCATAAAAATATACTAAAGATATAAAGAACATTATTATTTCATTATTTTCTTTTAGATGATAAAAAATTAAACATACGGCTGATCTCGTCTTTATTAGATTTACAATCTTTGCTGTAAATCCATTGTTTGTCTGATCTCTGCCAATCTTCTCTTCGTATTCCAAGTATGCAAACCACCTGATTGTTTCGCATAAAATTTGTTCAATGAAAAGTAACTTGATGGTAACATTTAAACTTTCTAATGGATCATCAAAAAGATGTCCGTGTGGCAAATAAAATAAACAAAGTGTAGAAAGTGTTATATGTAAGAAGGTTATTAGTACATGTGGAATTAATCTAAATCGAATGTTCTTGTAATTGTTATATGCTTGTGAATTTGATATTGCAGGTTTTGATGAGAAGGATGCAGCAGATGCACTGGACGAGGATGCAGATGTTGACATTTTGTTTAAATCAAAAAAAAAATCAAATGTTTAGTACTACAAAATTTCTACTTTTTCAAATTTAGAGAAGATTTGCCACCAACATTGACGAGCAAAAAAAATTTATGTAATTTTATTGCCTTTTTCATAAATAATTTATTGTAATGCATTCAGAAATAGATCAGTCTAGATTTACTAGGCGTTTAATTTAAAATCGAGATTTATTTACTCCAGCCTTTTATGAATACTGATCGTGTAATGTAAGTGATCAACATATAAAAAAAAAATGTTCAAGATTTCTCGGAAAATCAATAATGGACTCGGTTGGACGACCTATATATTTATTTATTTATTAGCACAACATATTTCATTAAAAAAGAAATGAACACATGATTATTTTTCTATAAAAAGAAGATTTTCGACAAAGAATTTTGTTGCAATTATGAAAATTCCCGATTATTATTAGCTAAAAGTTCTTTGCAAATTCTACCTTTTTCAAGAAAAGATAATTTGTTTTTTGCTCTTTTTTTGTCAATTGAAATCTTATTATCATCTGTATTTCTACGCTTAATTTGAAAACTTGGATTCGTGTTTTATGTTAACAAGGGAAAATACTACTTGCGTAATAGTAATATTTTAATGGTTACACGAGATATGAATTTAAAGAGAGATTTTTTATATGATGGCATATAATAAAAGCAAGAGAGTTATGATTTTATCGATTGTCGAGATTTTACTATGATTATGAAAAATATCGAATAGAATTTTAATGTAATTGGCATTGGTTCCTGAAAAAATTATGAATTTAGGCGACCATGAATTTATCTAAATATCAATTTAATGAACTTTAACTGTATAAAGCTTTTTTTAGTATAGTATCGCGTGAATTACTAAGCTCCCCAATTCAAAATCTCAAGCGAATGATGTCAAGTTATCCGAACCAATTATAGAAGTTATCATTGTCGTCGATATTGTAAACATTTATGCGATTTATCAATCGGTGATCTATAATCAATGATTCAAGTTTTTTCGATTTCAATAGTATGTGTCACACAATCACATCATATAACCGCTAATCGAGAATCGCATTTGAAAATAATATATATTTCATATTTATCTATTTTTAATTTTATTTTCAATTTTTCCCTTCCAACTCGTAAAAAAAAATTTTTTTTAAAAAATAGAAATATGTCTTCTGTTCAATTGACTACAATTGATAATTTTAAAGAATTTGTTATTGAATCAATATCACAAAACTTTAAAGAACAATTGTCGTTTTTGGATAAAATTCCAGAAAAAGGTTTGTTAAGAGTTATATATTTTATTAGTGAAATAAGGACATTGTTATTTTATCAATTAGTTGAGTGAAAACTTTTTTTTTTTAGAATTCGAAAAAAATTACTTTGAAGAAAATATAAAAGGACAATCGAGAAATTTAAAACGAAAAAAATTAGGTATTATTAATATAATTAATTATTTCCAAGTGCATTTTATATATTTTATATGCATAAATTGAATTAATTGAAATTTCTAAATTAAAAGATGAAAATGAAAGTAAAGTAGAAATTGTTAGTGATTATGAAGAGTCAACGCCAATTAGTCAAGAACCAATTACTTCGTCAACGAGTCCTTTACCATCGTCATCTACTCTTTCTCTACCTCCTATCTCACATTCTTCATCATCGCCATCATCATCATCATCACCATCATCACCATCATCATCATCGCTGGCTACGAGCGCAACCACCATCATTTTGACAACAGCAACTGCTACAACAATTACAACGACTACTACACTGAAGCCACAATTGCAACTACCACAAAAAAAGATTAGATTTACAACATCACAATTTTCTCCCTATTATGAAACGACTAATAATAACGGCAACGACAGCAACGATAATAGCGACAATAATAAAAGCACGTACTCAATTGAAGCCATATCACGTGCTAAAAACACTATAGCATTTTTTAGAGCTTTAAATTCAGGATGTTTTCGTAATTTGGATCCAAATAGTTTTGTGGTTATATCAGACGGAAAATTACTAGGAATATATCCTAATGAAGATCAAGCGGAAGCTATGATTAGGAAAGTAATTGCTTCTAGATCTAATTTTTCCATCACAAATCTTCATCATAACGACGAAAATAATAATGACCATTTGTTGCACGATGTAATGATCATGATGTTTCCGATATCTGGAAATTTTAAGAAAAAACCTTCGAACCTATACATTAATTTTAATGATGTTCGTCATAATGATAGTAACAGTAACAGTAATAGTAGCATCAAGTAGTGTTAACAACATCAATGGTAATAGTAATAATAATTTCTTAATAGTAGTAATATTGACAATAATTCCAACTCTTAAACAATAGACTTAAATTATCCAATATTTTTTTTTTTAATTTTTTTTTCTCAGTAAATTAAGACCGAATATGATTAAATACGAATGAATATCTTGCCGAAAAATAAAATTTGGATTTTTTTTGTATCTTTAAGCTTCATATACAGTAACCTATTATTATATGTAGGAATATAATTATGTATTCAATTAATTAATTATTTATTTATTATTATTTATATAATAAGTTTTGCTTATAATAAATCCCAAATCAAATATGATTTTTATGGAAAAAGTGTTACATGTATTTGTTATTTACATTTGTTTTTTTTGTTACAATGAATCACATTACAATATCTAATATTTATATGCAACATGCAGGTAAATATATCCTTATTGAGAGGGATTCGTGGTCTGTTTATACATAGAAAATGTCAAAAAAAAAAAAAGGAAAATTTCATGCTACCCAAAATATGAAAAATAAAATGGATGTTACACCATGACAGAGTTTTTCCTTTGGATAAATATGGTTTAATGATGATTTTTTAAAATAAAAATTTAGATAATTAAAATTAATAAAACTAATATAAATACATGGAAATTTTAGTGTACAACAATGTAAACAAGAAAAAAAGGCATGTGTCATTATACATTGCACATATATTGAATATTATGTAATTATAGCTAATAATAATGCAAATCCATTTCGTCATCAATATATTTAAATAACAATTATGGTAACAAATAAACAAATAAACAAAAATTGAGGAAATAAATAAATGTGAATTTTATTTATCGAGTGCGTTTTATTTCCTCCACGATATTTATACCTTCACATATAATAGTAATAATGATAATAATAATTAATAATGATACACATAATAAAATGAATTCTTAATATCTTAATTTGTTGGAAGGATTTTGTGTTTTTACATAATTGCTTTATACATAAATAATAATAATCTAATCTAATCGAAATTTTTTGAATGTGTTTGTGTTTTATGGGGGAAAGAATTATCTATATTTATATTACAAAATTTATATTTATATATTTATATACTATATATTATAGTTAGTATATGAAAAAAAATCAATCACGAAAAATTTTAATAAAGAAAATTTAATATTTACAATCTTAAAAAAAAAAAAAAAAAGGTTTTTAAAACAAAATAACGATGATTTTTATTTTTATTTTCTAGGAGTCGCTAATTTCCGTCGATATTGTTAAAATAAGTGGAGATGAAGTAATCCGACATTCTTCTATAAAATCATGGATGATTGATTAATCAACTATTGACGTTAACGATGACGACGACAAATCGCTGTTGTTGGACGTAATGGCTGTTGTAGTGGTAATTTTTAGTGACACTTTTTCAAGTTCGGCTTGGATTTTTGATGGGTTTGCAGGTTTTCCAACATATCCGATCTTTTTTTTTTTTTGATAAAATTAAAAAGCAATTAATTAAAATAAGTAAAACATATATTGGGTAAAAGAGAGAAGGAGAGAAATAAGATATTTACCATTCCTGCCTTTGAATATTCGTTATCCCATTGATTGGTGGTATAGGCGATAACTGGAACGTGGACGTTTTCTTTTAATATCGTGTCTGAATTACGAATTGCCAACGTTGTTTCTATCCCGGTTAAATTTGGCATGTCGACATCCATAAATACTAAATTAAAATGTTCTTTCGATAATAAATTTAAAGCTTTTTCGCCGCTTTCCACGCACGAGACATCATGTTTAAAGTATTTCCGAAGCATCCTTTTCAATATTGTTCCAGTTAATTGATTATCATCAACTATTAACGTCCTTTTAAAAAGTGTCAACGGCGACGACGATAACAAAGTAGAAGTCGTTGTGGAAGATGTCGTTGTCGTCGTTGCCATTGTCGTTGTCGTAGTGTTAGTGGTATTTCGTAGCAAATCGGTTGTTGTGTTATCCATCAATTTTGTTATGGCTAATGTTGTTTTAGTTAATATTCTGGTTTTCGATTTTGGTTTTAATGCCACCGTCATCGTTGTGGTGGTAGTCATTGTGGTTGTAGCGGTAGCTGTCATCATCAAAACATATTGCGAGTCATTTAATTTTAACATGAAAAATAAGAAGTATATATACTATGTTGGTAATAAATCACGATGATATAAAAGAAAGGAACACAATAATGTGAGAAAATAAAATAGGGAAAGGGATAACACCACACACAAATAAAGACAATTGACGATTTTTCTAAATAATTAATTTTCTATTTTCTATATTATTATTTTTAGAAATTATTTAAAAAAAGGAATTTATTTTTTTAGTCGAAAAAAAATAAAAAAATTTATATTTATATTCTGAAAAAATAAAAAAAGTAAAAACGAATCATTAATAATAATAATAAAGAAAAATTATTATATTATTTAAGATTTAAAAAAAAAAAGTTGTGATTGTGTGTGATTGTTTTTTATTGCGTGTGTTGTATATGTAAAAAGGAACAAAATAAAAAAAAAATTTTAAAAAATTTTAAATCCTTTTATATTAAATATTTTACTAATTTTTGATTTATTTCTTTTTTATTTTAATTTTAAATAAATTATTTGATCTAAAATATTATTTGTATTTATATTTATTATAATATGATATTAATACAGCAACAACCTTTTGCTTGATGTGCAATTTAAAATAAAGTATTTTTTTTTTATGCATATAAAATAAAAAAATAATAATTTATTTATTGTCTGTTTAAATAAATCGAATTCGAATTGATTGATTGGGGAATTTTTTTTTCAAACAAAAACTTGAAACCAACAAATGTATGATTAAATCATCAAGCGTCCCAATTTGTATAATATTTACATATTTGTATATTCACAAATATTAATTATATGTATTTGAATGTTTGATTTAATTTTGTACAATCATTGGAGGAAAAGAAGAAAAATTTGACCAATAAAATTAACGATTAATCAAAGAAAAATAATCGTGGAAAATTTATTGAATTCTAGAATTTTATTTCTTAAAAATATAATATATTTAAACACGTGTGTATATATATTATTATGCATACATACAATCTTTCTATTATATTATATACATATCGTATGGTGGTGAATAGAATTTTAAATAAATAATTATTATTGATAATAAAACCTTAATCTTTGTAATACACGCTGCCATTTCTCCCGAGACTTGTTTATTTCAAGTTATTAATGAATTTTTTTCTCTAATCATGTTTCACGTTATTATGATTTGTGTATACGTAATCTACCATTATGTTGTATACGTAAGTATGTGCGTGCCAATACTGTTGCCTAATTCATAAATATAATCTCTGCTCTTATTTTTTATTTTTATAAATCTCATTGTGGCTGATGGAGAGAGGCCAATGTATTGTTATTTTCTTTGTAAAACTTGTGTTGTTGTTGTTTTTAGTCCTTATTCAATTACCGTTAATTCGAATAACAATGATAACTACAAAGAGACAATTCTAATTCTAACAATATTAATAATTTTATTCTTGTCACTTGCCAAGCAAGTCCAAGAAGAAATTTTTCCATTAAAAATTGCATTCAAAAATTTTTATCATTCATTATATGCGCCACAATCAATAAATCCAATAAAACTCTCGTGTTAGTTTCTTTTCTAAATCTAGCAAACAAACAATAAATTTTTTAAATATGGATTGAATGGAGAAAGAAGACTGGTGATGTCATTATCCCAAACATTTAATTACCAGCCCTTTTCCAAGATTTTATTTCGGTTCATGGTTGCATGTGTGGCTAGAACGAAAATCAAATTTAAAGTTTATCACCATTATTAGAATATGGATTGTTTCCCAACTTATCACTTCATATAAACAAACAATGTTACATACACACATACATATCAATAATAATAATAATAATAACAATAATAATAATAATAAATTGATATCAATTGATTGATTAATGTTTAATATTTAATTGGTGGAGGCTTAAAGAAACAAATTAATTGATTTAATTAAAGAATAATAATTAAATAATAAATAAAAATCATTAGTACATATGAATTAATTCAAAAAAAGTTTCAAATTTATTATTATTTATTTATTTCTACGAGTCATCCAACCAGATCAACAAAGACTTTTCCAAAATTCGTTTACTTTCTTTCCAATTACCGAGGAATCTTTATAATTAAATTCATGTGCAAGTACCACTTTATCGTTTCAAGAAAAATTATGTATTTTATTATGGTACTGATGTAAATCATGTAAATCATCGTTTTCTCATATTTATTAGTAGAAATAAAGATGCAAAAATAAAAAATAATATTTACACATGGATGGATGCGTATCGGATAAACATCATCATCAATTATGATAATAAAGGAATTAATAAGCACGTGCCTATCCCCTTGTAATTGGATAAATTAATCCCAAACACCTTTCATTCACTCCTTTAGCTTCTAACTCTTCTAGCTCCAATGTTAACTATTACTATCATTTATAATATCGCTACTTACCATTATCAATCACTCCTTTGATCCGTTTGTTTCTTTAATGAAAAAGCCGAGAGAAACAAAAACCGAATTTCTTTAGCATTTAATTAGTACATTATTTATTAATTGATCGACTAACAACAAACGAATTATGAAAGAAAATAATTGTCTTATGTTAAAATAATCAATTTACCTGTTGTTTCATTGTATGTGCATACAGTCATCTTATTTCCATATAAAGAAAAAAAGCGAAAGAATTCGCACAGACCGTCGATACTAAAAAAATCATTTATTTATTGAAAACTGGTCATACTTGTTTGTTCCGTATATATATATATTGTTTGATAGGCGAGAATTATAAACTATAGCTGACCTCCTCTATAGTCACACCTTGGAACCGGAAAAACAAGCGTGATTATAAAAAGTTATATAACGTGATTACCATTAGTAAGTGTTTCAAAAGTATGATGTGCTTATAAAGGGGGAGTAACTATAGAGAGGGTGATTATAGAGAGGGTCGACTGTATCTATACGGATATACGGATATACGGATATCTATCTATAAATGTCAAATTAAATTGACAAAATGAACGGGAAAAAGTATACGGCTTATCGAGTAGGAGACATATAACGTGTTAACACGCGATAAAAATTTTCATAAAAAAAATAAACGCACTAACTTTTTAATTAATATAATTTAATATTAAGTTTAAATAAATATATTTATCATTTTGTTTCGAATTAATTAAAAAAAACCCCCCTCTCATTCATAACATTTAAAAGAGTAAGTAGTATATTATCAGTGTGTATTGTCGGATAGATCAATTCCTTAATTGGTTGTTTCTCCATTTTATTTTATTTCCTTACTTGCGCGTAAATTTTTTAATAAAGTTGGAGAACGTGGGTAAGTGCTCTTTCAAAGGGGTGTAACATGTTTTATTCTCGTATTTAGATAAATTAAATTCATATTCTGCATTTATATCTTTTAGAATTTCTCCTTGATTTGTCAAATACACACAGAATGAAATTAAAAATATATTAAGAAAATACAAAAACATAATAATTGCAATTAAAGCATGTTCATTTGTTGCCGATGTTGATGCTAATGACGTTAATGCTAATGATGTTGACGACGACGATGTTTCTATGGCCGTCAATGTTGACGTTTCTGCTGCTTCTACTACCACTTCTTCTTTATTACTATCATCATCACCATCATCACCACCATCATCATCATCATCATTTATATTTTTGCTTGTGCTTTCTCTTTTAGTTTTGCTTGCATTTTTCTTGAATAAAACTTCTCCTTTATTTTCAATTGAATCTCTTTTAATTTCATCATTATTTTTAGACGTGATTCCATTTCTTATGGCCCCAGTTAAATTTTTTTTAAATGGAGAACCACCGTTATTGTTGAATGGACTTTCTTTTATTTTATTTTCTGATAATATTTCCTCTATATCATCTTTAATATTTCGAGGGAAAACTCTTGCATGAGTGCACACTTTGCATTTACTAAAATCATCACCGAATTCTATTCCAATCAAAGGGAAATAGCAAATATCCACAACATAATCATCCCAACAATCATCATCCCATTGTCCCTTCATGAATTTTGGTTCTATTTTGTCATTATGTTTAAACCAATGTATTTCACATGGTGGCTCTTGAACCATCAAACGAAATTTAAATATATTGATAATATCTTTGATAAGATCTTTTGCCATATCTTCTGCAACCTTTCTTTTATTTCCATCTTTAATGTAACGATATCCTGACATTAACTGATTGAGTTCTTGTGCTGTGAATGTTATAAATGGATGGATATATTGTTCATTTTCTTTTTCATAAATTTCAGAAAATCCAAATTCACCCAAGACACCATACACTTGTTGACGTATTTTTGTTGGAACAGCCTTGGTCACATTATTAATATGTTTTGAATGGTGAGTATAAAATTTATCAAAGAAATTTATCAGCTGATCTGTATGATTCATTATATATTTTTCTTGATTATACGAATCTTCTATTTCTTCTATTTTGTTATTATTTTCAATTTTAAAATAACCATCTACCAATTCTAGAACCTTTTCTAATACGTAACGTTGTAAAACTGATTTCATTAGAATTTTATCCTTTATACGTTGAGTATCTAATTGATATTTTCTATATAGTTCTTGAATTGCTTTAATTTCAAGGTCTATAGAGGGACCTTTTAAAGTAGTAACGTATTTCTCAAGTCTGTCCTGTAAAAGATTTATATCTGCCGAAAGTTGGACCGAATTATTATTATCTTCATCACTCAAACGGAAATTTAATGCATCCCCTAAAGCTGATTGATATGTCGAAGCTTCTTTTCTTAGAATCTCATTTGTAGCCTTTAAATTCTTATTATCAGCTATTAATTGCTCGTTTACACCTTTTAATTTTTCATTTTTATTTTTAAGTTCTTTAAGCTCTTTATATATATCACTAGCGTTATCAATCACAGTTTTTTTTTTTGTATCCATTTTTTATTAATTTAATTATTTATACTTTTTAAAAAAACAAATTAGACTTTTATTCAAACAAGAGAAAAAAAATAAAAATAAAAATAAAATGTATATATATTACAGCATTCATTTATTTATTTTGTGAAGATCGACAAAAAAATAAAATAAAAATAAATAAATATTAATATTAATATATATATACAATAATTGAGGGCTTTTCGATAGAAACGCGTGAAACTTTGAAAAAATGTTTTTTTGAGTTAATATCACACTTGTATGTAACTCTTGAGGCAGAACATTTTTAGTTTAGAAACCGTGCCCATTCTGCATAGTAAAATGTTGAGATATTTTCTTTTGACGGTTCAGAAACGATAGCAAATCCCAAAACACCTCTAGGGTTCACGCGCTTCTATTGAAAGTCCCCAATTTTTTGAATGTCCAAGTTAAACTTTTATTCAAAGAGGAGGAAAAAAATAAAAATAAAACTGTATGTATATTTAGTAGAAGATCGACAAGATCAACTTTATTCAAAGCAATAAGATAAAAATACAATAAAATAAAACAATAAACAAAATAAACAATAATTTTGAATGTCCAAATAATTAATGAATATACGTATACATATACATATATATATATTATAATTATTAATTTGTTATTTAAAGATCTAGCTCGAAAGTAGTATTAAATTCATCACCAGTTAATTTACTTTTAGCATTTGCTTGAATTTCAACAGTACCAAAAGTTAAGGTTAACAAAATGGTTCTATCATTGTAATCACCGGTTCTAGGTAGATCTGCTACAAATTTACCCATTAACTCAACATCGTCATCTTCATCACAATATTGTGCATCATTTTTGTCTGTTTTATACAAATCTAAATTCATTTTACGTTGAGACAACGAATAGGGTACATAAACTGTGGTGATTGATTCGTCCACATTCACTTTTGTACCTTTTTCTGCCAATATATTTAAAACTTTAATCAATCCATTTGGTAAACGACGATCCATTGGATCTGTCGATTCCCACGGTCTTACAACATCAGTTCCTATAACACACACGTACACACACATACACATATTAGTTTAATATATTTTTTTTTCAATTAATTGATTAATAAGACAATATTTTCAATCAATTACCATAATTCCATTTTAATTTCCTATCAACGATTACTTCTTTTCTAAGCCCAAACATAACAGCGCCTGTAATAAATTTTATTAATAAATAAAATTACAATTAACATGTAATAAATCATCACCTTCAACTATAAATAACCATTACCTCTGATAATTGCTGCCATAGGATGACTTGGTACTGAAATATTTTTTACTCTACTAGAAAACTCTCTTCTGATTACTGATTGTAGGTATTTTGATTCACTAAATCCACCAACCAAAAACATTGCTGAACATTCATTGCCTTTGTTACTATCGAGTTGACGATTAATCAATTTGATGATTTTTTCTATAACAGGATCAAACATTGCCTTAACATCTTCAAATGTTAACTCAATCAACCATTCACAATCAACCAACTCTTCAATCTTTTCTTCATCGATAATATATTGTTTTATTGATGGACATAATTCTTCTATATCTAATTCGTAGGTTTCATATTCTAACATATTACCGGTGAAAGGTAATTTGGCTTTTCTACAAAAGTCCTGAACCATATATTGGAGTTGTGAGTAATGATCTTGTATAATGATTTCCATGGCATTCTCGCCTACTTTCTCGCTGACAAATTTTATGAATTCTTTGTCCACGTAACTACCGCCACAAAAATCTCCTGACCTAATCGTTATTTCTGACAATTTTTCATCATCTAATAATTCTCTTGTTGTCAAGTCTACTGTACCTCCTCCACAATCAACAACCATAAATGAAGCTAATAAATTAAATTATCAAATGTTATTTTAATTCTTTTTAATTCACATATATATCATTTATATATGTATCTATCTATCTATGCATACATGCACGCATAGATGTACGTTTAAATAAAATGGCATTATTGTTTATAGATTACAAACCTCCCACTTCTAATTTATGTTCTTTAAGAACTTTCATACAATAAATTGCTGCGGCTTCAGCTAAATACGGAAAATATTTATTTATCATTAAAAAACATATATATATATATATATATTAAAAACACAATATTATGATTTACATACGTTCTGTGGTGAATATTAAATTCTTTGACGATTTATTATTCAATAATCCAGCCTTATAAGCACATTCTCTCAATGTTGCAATAGCACTATCATCAAACTCTGCAGGAATCTAAACAATATATATATACACTCTTATTAATATAACACATACACATACAAAGATTTTTTAAGTTCGTACCGTTAAAATAAGTAAAACATTATCAAAGAAATCGATATTTTGCCATCTGCTATCTATTGTTTCTTTAATTGATTTGTTAAGTTGAGATAGATAGTCTGTTATGGCTTGTTTATGATGTAATTTATCTGGTAAAGGTGGTTTATCTGTCATTTTGGCAAGATGAAGTTTGAAAAGCTCTGTTGTTGGACGTAATGGCTGTTGTAGTGGTAATTTTTAGTGACACTTTTTCAAGTTCGGCTTGGATTTTTGATGGGTTTGCAGGTTTTCCAACATATCCGATCTTTTTTTTTTTTTGATAAAATTAAAAAGCAATTAATTAAAATAAGTAAAACATATATTGGGTAAAAGAGAGAAGGAGAGAAATAAGATATTTACCATTCCTGCCTTTGAATATTCGTTATCCCATTGATTGGTGGTATAGGCGATAACTGGAACGTGGACGTTTTCTTTTAATATCGTGTCTGAATTACGAATTGCCAACGTTGTTTCTATCCCGGTTAAATTTGGCATGTCGACATCCATAAATACTAAATTAAAATGTTCTTTCGATAATAAATTTAAAGCTTTTTCGCCGCTTTCCACGCACGAGACATCATGTTTAAAGTATTTCCGAAGCATCCTTTTCAATATTGTTCCAGTTAATTGATTATCATCAACTATTAACGTCCTTTTAAAAAGTGTCAACGGCGACGACGATAACAAAGTAGAAGTCGTTGTGGAAGATGTCGTTGTCGTCGTTGCCATTGTCGTTGTCGTAGTGTTAGTGGTATTTCGTAGCAAATCGGTTGTTGTGTTATCCATCAATTTTGTTATGGCTAATGTTGTTTTAGTTAATATTCTGGTTTTCGATTTTGGTTTTAATGCCACCGTCATCGTTGTGGTGGTAGTCATTGTGGTTGTAGCGGTAGCTGTCATCATCAAAACATATTGCGAGTCATTTAATTTTAACATGAAAAATAAGAAGTATATATACTATGTTGGTAATAAATCACGATGATATAAAAGAAAGGAACACAATAATGTGAGAAAATAAAATAGGGAAAGGGATAACACCACACACAAATAAAGACAATTGACGATTTTTCTAAATAATTAATTTTCTATTTTCTATATTATTATTTTTAGAAATTATTTAAAAAAAGGAATTTATTTTTTTAGTCGAAAAAAAATAAAAAAATTTATATTTATATTCTGAAAAAATAAAAAAAGTAAAAACGAATCATTAATAATAATAATAAAGAAAAATTATTATATTATTTAAGATTTAAAAAAAAAAAGTTGTGATTGTGTGTGATTGTTTTTTATTGCGTGTGTTGTATATGTAAAAAGGAACAAAATAAAAAAAAAATTTTAAAAAATTTTAAATCCTTTTATATTAAATATTTTACTAATTTTTGATTTATTTCTTTTTTATTTTAATTTTAAATAAATTATTTGATCTAAAATATTATTTGTATTTATATTTATTATAATATGATATTAATACAGCAACAACCTTTTGCTTGATGTGCAATTTAAAATAAAGTATTTTTTTTTTATGCATATAAAATAAAAAAATAATAATTTATTTATTGTCTGTTTAAATAAATCGAATTCGAATTGATTGATTGGGGAATTTTTTTTTCAAACAAAAACTTGAAACCAACAAATGTATGATTAAATCATCAAGCGTCCCAATTTGTATAATATTTACATATTTGTATATTCACAAATATTAATTATATGTATTTGAATGTTTGATTTAATTTTGTACAATCATTGGAGGAAAAGAAGAAAAATTTGACCAATAAAATTAACGATTAATCAAAGAAAAATAATCGTGGAAAATTTATTGAATTCTAGAATTTTATTTCTTAAAAATATAATATATTTAAACACGTGTGTATATATATTATTATGCATACATACAATCTTTCTATTATATTATATACATATCGTATGGTGGTGAATAGAATTTTAAATAAATAATTATTATTGATAATAAAACCTTAATCTTTGTAATACACGCTGCCATTTCTCCCGAGACTTGTTTATTTCAAGTTATTAATGAATTTTTTTCTCTAATCATGTTTCACGTTATTATGATTTGTGTATACGTAATCTACCATTATGTTGTATACGTAAGTATGTGCGTGCCAATACTGTTGCCTAATTCATAAATATAATCTCTGCTCTTATTTTTTATTTTTATAAATCTCATTGTGGCTGATGGAGAGAGGCCAATGTATTGTTATTTTCTTTGTAAAACTTGTGTTGTTGTTGTTTTTAGTCCTTATTCAATTACCGTTAATTCGAATAACAATGATAACTACAAAGAGACAATTCTAATTCTAACAATATTAATAATTTTATTCTTGTCACTTGCCAAGCAAGTCCAAGAAGAAATTTTTCCATTAAAAATTGCATTCAAAAATTTTTATCATTCATTATATGCGCCACAATCAATAAATCCAATAAAACTCTCGTGTTAGTTTCTTTTCTAAATCTAGCAAACAAACAATAAATTTTTTAAATATGGATTGAATGGAGAAAGAAGACTGGTGATGTCATTATCCCAAACATTTAATTACCAGCCCTTTTCCAAGATTTTATTTCGGTTCATGGTTGCATGTGTGGCTAGAACGAAAATCAAATTTAAAGTTTATCACCATTATTAGAATATGGATTGTTTCCCAACTTATCACTTCATATAAACAAACAATGTTACATACACACATACATATCAATAATAATAATAATAATAACAATAATAATAATAATAAATTGATATCAATTGATTGATTAATGTTTAATATTTAATTGGTGGAGGCTTAAAGAAACAAATTAATTGATTTAATTAAAGAATAATAATTAAATAATAAATAAAAATCATTAGTACATATGAATTAATTCAAAAAAAGTTTCAAATTTATTATTATTTATTTATTTCTACGAGTCATCCAACCAGATCAACAAAGACTTTTCCAAAATTCGTTTACTTTCTTTCCAATTACCGAGGAATCTTTATAATTAAATTCATGTGCAAGTACCACTTTATCGTTTCAAGAAAAATTATGTATTTTATTATGGTACTGATGTAAATCATGTAAATCATCGTTTTCTCATATTTATTAGTAGAAATAAAGATGCAAAAATAAAAAATAATATTTACACATGGATGGATGCGTATCGGATAAACATCATCATCAATTATGATAATAAAGGAATTAATAAGCACGTGCCTATCCCCTTGTAATTGGATAAATTAATCCCAAACACCTTTCATTCACTCCTTTAGCTTCTAACTCTTCTAGCTCCAATGTTAACTATTACTATCATTTATAATATCGCTACTTACCATTATCAATCACTCCTTTGATCCGTTTGTTTCTTTAATGAAAAAGCCGAGAGAAACAAAAACCGAATTTCTTTAGCATTTAATTAGTACATTATTTATTAATTGATCGACTAACAACAAACGAATTATGAAAGAAAATAATTGTCTTATGTTAAAATAATCAATTTACCTGTTGTTTCATTGTATGTGCATACAGTCATCTTATTTCCATATAAAGAAAAAAAGCGAAAGAATTCGCACAGACCGTCGATACTAAAAAAATCATTTATTTATTGAAAACTGGTCATACTTGTTTGTTCCGTATATATATATATTGTTTGATAGGCGAGAATTATAAACTATAGCTGACCTCCTCTATAGTCACACCTTGGAACCGGAAAAACAAGCGTGATTATAAAAAGTTATATAACGTGATTACCATTAGTAAGTGTTTCAAAAGTATGATGTGCTTATAAAGGGGGAGTAACTATAGAGAGGGTGATTATAGAGAGGGTCGACTGTATCTATACGGATATACGGATATACGGATATCTATCTATAAATGTCAAATTAAATTGACAAAATGAACGGGAAAAAGTATACGGCTTATCGAGTAGGAGACATATAACGTGTTAACACGCGATAAAAATTTTCATAAAAAAAATAAACGCACTAACTTTTTAATTAATATAATTTAATATTAAGTTTAAATAAATATATTTATCATTTTGTTTCGAATTAATTAAAAAAAACCCCCCTCTCATTCATAACATTTAAAAGAGTAAGTAGTATATTATCAGTGTGTATTGTCGGATAGATCAATTCCTTAATTGGTTGTTTCTCCATTTTATTTTATTTCCTTACTTGCGCGTAAATTTTTTAATAAAGTTGGAGAACGTGGGTAAGTGCTCTTTCAAAGGGGTGTAACATGTTTTATTCTCGTATTTAGATAAATTAAATTCATATTCTGCATTTATATCTTTTAGAATTTCTCCTTGATTTGTCAAATACACACAGAATGAAATTAAAAATATATTAAGAAAATACAAAAACATAATAATTGCAATTAAAGCATGTTCATTTGTTGCCGATGTTGATGCTAATGACGTTAATGCTAATGATGTTGACGACGACGATGTTTCTATGGCCGTCAATGTTGACGTTTCTGCTGCTTCTACTACCACTTCTTCTTTATTACTATCATCATCACCATCATCACCACCATCATCATCATCATCATTTATATTTTTGCTTGTGCTTTCTCTTTTAGTTTTGCTTCATAAAATTCTTCTGGCCTTTCTACTGGATTAATATTTAAATTATTTAACTGCACTTTAAGTCGGTCGACAACGTTTTTCCAGTCTTGATTTGACATTGAATGCTTACTTGTATGTTGTACATTAGAATGTTGGTTTGGAGCTAAGCAAGTTATCAATAAAATATAATTTCTCAGATGGATTTTGATTTGATTTCATTGCACACTTTTTAATGAAAAACATTTTGTGATGACTAACGTTCAAAAAAAATTTAAAATCCTACCATTGTGGGCGGTCTGGTGAATTTCTCTTAAATTCCCCATTTCTTCTTGTTGATTTAGATGTTGATTATTATTACTCATTTTTTTTTCAAATAAAATTCCTTTTTTTTCCCAAAAAAAAAATTCTTGAGAAAAAAAAAATTTTTAATATATTAAATATAGAAATATAGGTGTGAATTTTTTTTAAACGGATTTTATTGATAAAACTTTCCACAATTAACGTGAGACAAAATAGAACTTTAGTATATTTAGTATAACAAACAAAAACCAACCATCGTTGTCTACCTACTTAGTTTAGCGATATAATTAGATAAGAAATAAATAAATATTAAATGGTCAATTTTTCAAGTTACAAAACTTGACATAAAATGGAAGACTTGAATAGGAAACAATAGTCACCCTGTGAACAAAATCCAATGCGGGGTGTGATGCGCTAACCAAATACGGAAAATATCATCAGATTTTTGCAAAAAATTATCAAGTTTGTGTAAATAACGCAGTCGAATGTTAATACGCCAGCGTGAACCAAAATAATTTTATAATTAAAGTCTGTCAATGTTTTCCATTTACGAGATATCTTAATAATAATAAAAATTTAATCAGTCTTTATTGACAAATTTCTTTATTAATTTAAGTAATTTATTTCATTAAAAATTAATAAAATAAAAAATTGAGAATGACCGAATCTTTAAAAAATTCACTTGATATTCGTGTTGTAGTTTCTATCGGTAAGCTTTAAAATATTATGTTTTTTTAGCGTGCGAAAAATATCATTAGATTGATAAATAAATTATGTCCATTAATAATTACTATTGTTTGTTAAACACACTTGGATAGACTTTGGCACAACCTTCTCGGTGAGTCGACGATCGCTTTAGTTTATTTATTTATTTTATTTATTTATTTTTGTAAAGAGATTATTTTAATAATTATATATATATATATATATATTGATATTATTATCATTATGAAGGGATATGGTTATGCACATAAAGCAAACCCTTTTGAAATCATCACAAATGATAATTGGCCACAAAATACTGGTCAATTCAAAACCCCAACA